GCGCTGGCAGCTATGGATCCGTGCGCCGCCTACGCACTCGGCGCACGGATCCATAGCTGCCAGCGCTGCATACTGTCGTACGACATTGCCGCGGTCGCGTGCGCCTTGCCGCGGAACTGCGCGCGAGATCTGCGCGTATAGCGCTTGGGATCAACACCTCCTTTCGGCAACGCTTCTCTAGTATCCCGTCTCATCTGGATCCGATCAAATTTATATTAGAATGTGTGCATGCTTCTCTAACTTGGGGTCACGAGAGGGTGTTATGGTGGTAGGGAGAGGGTTTTCATGGTGTATAGGGAGAGGGGTTGCATGGGGTTATGGAGAAGAATTTTGCATGGATGGGGAAAGGAATTTCACGGGGTAGGAAGAGGGGATAGGGGATTTAACAGGGGGTAGGGACTAGGGAGAGAACTTTCATAAGGGTATGGGAGAGGGGTTGTATGGGGATACGGAGAGGGGTCTCATATGTGTAGGGAGAGGGGTTGTATGGGGATAGGGAGAGGGGTTGTATGGGGATAGTGAGATGAATATTATGGGTTTAATGCCTATAAGAATAAGTAAACTGGGCTGCAATATATTTTACTGATTATGAAACAAGGGGTTTTAGAAAGAAGAACAATATGGTGTGTTGCAAATCATCAGAAAATACATACTATCGTTTAATGGAGGTGCAATTTATCTGATTAATTTATCTGTTAGTCCTGTAGCATAAAATACAATTTTATGATAATCGCAACACATATCTGTAATGTAGGAAATGTGAAACCTGCAAATTAATGCAATCCACATGGGAATCAAACATTGAACACGATCATGAGAAAAAATTCTATCACAATCATCAGAATTTGTTAGAATGATAAAAGATGAACTGTCCCTGGTGTCAATGGCAGCTTTGGAATATTGAGCGGAATAGATTTAAAATTTAGATATAGGAAGCTCGGTGTGATGCCTCCATCTGTGCACTGCCCGCACGTGGCAAATCATTTGGAGTCAAATGTCTCCAATTGGTCTGCTAATATGGTGAAGCAAGCTGCACTGCTCTGCTCTATATTTTGCTGGTCACGAAATCAGATTATTTTAGAAAATATGTTTGTGGTAGCTAACATATATATGCGTTATTTGCATCAACTTTCATGAGAGAAGACCGAATATATCGTAATGTTAATGTTCGCTGTATATTAAAAGATTGGTAAAAAATATACATGCTCATATATAAATATATATGCTCTTGTGCAGGACGACGGATATTATTTCAGGAGCCAAAGCATGTCTTCTTAAATAAAAATTTACCTGGCCACATAGCCCACTCGATGTCTTGATTATTTCGGTCGAGTTTACGAGAAAACTGCGGGCTTGTGTGTGTGTGCTAACCTATATTACAAGCATCTATGCTTGTNCTAGGAACACTCCCCGGTGTATATAGAGATGGCCCTGTGAAAATTGCATCCAGATCGCCTTGGGCGGGTTGGCCGCCCTATAGGGCAAGATACCATACATACATACATACATACGACTAATACATACATCACATACATCATACATACATATCATAATACATATCATACATACATACATACATACATACATACATACATACATATGAAAAAAACCATGCCAAACCGTCAAACTCACCGAAAAATCCGTAAAAAACCCCTCAATTTGTGAATCTTCACACAATGTCAGCACTCACTGTACAGTGCTGCCACACACAGAAAAATCAGCTGCTGGTATTGTCAAACCGAAACACATTCCGATCAGCCGCACGTGCGTGCCCCCTCGCCTCTGATCCCCTCGCCCCGGCCGCCCGATATTACCGGGCGCTTTTTATATGTCGCCCGGCCGCATTTTCGCCTCGGCTGCTTTGTGCATGGGTGCGTTCCGATTACCCGGATCTGTCTATATGGAGTGTACAGCTTTACGTGGGGAGCTCAAGAGTTCGAGACGCCAGCAATCTCTACATATTTCCACCAGAGAATAAGACGGAAAACATTGTTTATCAAGAGGCTTTTCAAATGAAAAGTCCAACCCATTCGTATATGCTCTTATAATAACTTTGTCATTTACACCATATTACTATTATCATTATGTTCCAGTGGTTCTTAACTTCTTAGTTGGGTTGTGCGGTCATATAAATGTCATACGTAAGCGTTTTTTACCATGCTCATTATCTTATTAGACTGATTTCTAAATATTGATAGTGTCCAATATTATTCTCCATTTTTTCCCAATGTTCCTATTGTGTCCGATTATTAGTAGTATGAATTACTAGGACGATTTTACCCAGCGCAGCGGGTACCCGCAGCTAGTATATGATATATCTATATACATCTATCCAAGTCGCTATATAAGCAGTGTATATAGCATAGTGGCGCCATCTATCGGCAGAAAACGGTTTTTATTGGGACCCATGTTCTCTAACCTTGGTCCCCCGTTTCCGAGTGTTTCTCACCATTACTACGCGCGAGAATTTCCCGTCATCTTCCTGTGCTACGGCCCTGAAATTTATGTGCGTATTTGCGCGCGCCATTTGCAGACTCATACTACTGCTGATAGGGTCTATGTCCCCCAGGTTAGTGCTGCCTGCCGGAACGTACCCTAGGTATGGTCCGGTATACCGGAACGTACCCTGGTACTAAATACTACTATCTAATATGCCGGACCGTACCTCGCCTACTCCACTAACGAGTCTAGAGGGTCGCCTACGCCTACTCCCTAACCCTAACCATATCAGCTAGATAGTTACCAGGGTACGTTCCGGCAGTACCCTGGGGGACATAGACCCTATCAGCCACAGGCACTTGAAGCGTTTCAATAAAATATAATGCTAACTAAATACGAAATCTATTTACTACCAAATTACTAGAAGCAGTACCATGTTGTTCACAAGTTGTTGTGCAATTTGTTGGTTTAAAACTTTGGAAAAAAAGTAGCATATCATATGTAGCCAAAAAATTCCAAGATATAAATAGACAAAGAATGTGGGTTTTGATGCTCGACTTTATATACACTCACACGAGGGAGTACCGGAGTGTTTGAAATGTATAAATTACAGTTGAGTTTGAATTTTCAGTAGTTATATATCTAGTATTGTATAATTAGTAAACTGTCATTTGCACCACGAAAATGCACATTGTTAATATTAGTTCCTGCTAAAAATAACATGAACAAACAACAAATTCTTCAACTCGACTGTTATCCTACAGCTATTCTGCTATGCAATCGAGTGTGCATTCGTAAAGATATATAGATAAATAGACAGCACTTGTACCACATACATGGAAAAACGTGCTCCACTATCATACGATATAAAAGTTTACTCAAGTTATAAACAAATTAGCTGTTAAATGCATTCTACTATCGTCATATCTTGGTTCCCATTTTATACTCATATCCCCGTTACTGGAATTTTTTCAGTACGACATCAATACAATCTCCAGATTCCATCTCCAAGTCATTAGGCGTTTCAGATCCAAACATTTCTTCACCGTCAAATTCAAATCTCATCCACTTCAACGTGATACCTCGGGACTTTGCATAGTCCAACATTAGTTTCGAGATTGGCTCCCACTGCAAAAAAACAAAACAATAATGAAAACATTGATGTCCTTGACAACACACACAATAGATATCACAAATACTGCTATACACATCACAACGCTGACGACTCTGTATGTCCATTTAACCTTACCCGTATACCAAGGTTGCCGCAGCTAGATCGACTTGAATCGGTCATGCTTCTTGGTGCAATTTAAAATTGGAAAATTTACTATTTGAGGAGAAATACTGGATCATGTGTCCTAGACCTATTTTTAAACTTAAGATTAGTTTGAGCATGTGAGGTTCAGGAGGATTAGTTGGTGAGATAGGTGTGAAGTTAGTGACCTAAAGACTACTAGAGTCTAGGAATGTCCCAAATGAACCCAGTTAGGTTTGTGCATATCACTATATAAACACATTATGTAAGCTTTACCAAGCTACGTAATGCAAAAGCATCAAGATGATAAATTGTAGCTCACATGACCAATGACAGGTAATTCTCAGGAACATCACAAATCAAAACCACATACCATGCAAATTTGAAACTCTGTTGTGCCTCTTTTGTCATTCGACTGCACTTTGACTGTGAGCTGGTCTCTCGTGTTTAATGGTACCACCACCTCATTTGACGTGGTCTCTTCACATGGATCAGCTATAAGACACTCTGAAGCATCATACACAAATAACAACGATGGTGAGCTATTATGAAATGGGAAAATCTATAGCAAAATTAATTATAAGAAACCTGGTAACTCACTTCATAACGTACTAGAAAACTCAAATCTGACAATGGAAACATTCTCTAGCACTAGGTGACAGCACATACCTGCCCATGAACAGATACATGTTCGTTTGAAAAGAAGGGTATGAATTCTATAAACGTACAAGTATTAAAGTGGTTATTGCACACCTCACCTATGATATCTGCAATGCTTAGTTTTAACGTAGATGGGGTGGCATGGGTTGGAATCGTGATGTCTTGGTGTGTGAGCAAGATCCATGACTCGTGCACACCTTCGAAGCCAGCAATCTGTTTCTTTATCTCGTAAAAACTATTGTTCTGTAAAACAATAAAAATCACTAGCTACCGAAGCTGCATGGCCATACAAGGCTAGGCGACTATGCCACTCCTCAACAGGTGATAACCGTTACATTTAGATGTAGGTTAAAACGCGTGTCGGTGGGTATTGTTCTAAACGAGTTCATTGTTTTAACTATTATTTGTTGTTTAACAATTTATTGAGATATTATATTAATAAGTTCTTAAAAGATTTACTTGCACAATTGAATGATATGAAATCGCTAATTTATTTCACTGAAATACAGAATAGTTCACCATAGTTTTAATGGATATAGTCACAGTAATGACTACTCTATTTAGTTGCTGTATACTTTCAACTACTTACACGTTTCATCTCAAATCTCCGCATTTGCGACCGCACCCTAACTTTCACAACAATGTTGTCTTGTTTACTGTCATCCACAATTTCTACAATATCCGAGGTGTTTCCACTGATGTCTGGCTGCAGAAATCCATGAACAAATCCTGCCGTTGCCTTATCAACTTCCCTGCCAAAAACCGGACAACAAAATTAAGACAGCAACGTCAAACAACATATCTACCCATTTCATAAACCCTGACTAATAAACAAAGCTAGAAAAAAACGGTTGGCTAAGCATGCAATAAATAAGAGTGCTAGTATGGCATATAAGCGAATTTACACAGGGCACTAACCGATTATCAGCAGGAATACTTTTTGCTAACAGTTACTATCAAACTCATTTCTCAAACATTTTATTTTTAATTTCCGAGTAAACATTGCAGTCAATAGTTAAAATACAATGCGAATAAGTTAATAGAATTCAATACCGAAACAACGCTTGTGTCTTTCTGCTAGTAGCGTTTGTGATGTGTGTTAGTGGGGGTGGAGGTGGCGAAGGTGAAGCTCTTCCCAAAGAAGCACCATTTGAGCTGTAATGATGACGAAGACACATATATGCAAACCAAACAGGTACTTAGTTATGCATACTGTAGTATAGTCGATTTCAAATACTCTGTGTAATCTCTTCACCGTATGGTGCTGCCACCTAGGCAGGTGTTT